TCAGGCTTTGTATTTATAGAAAACGAGCCACTTATTATCAATGTGTTTGCACCGCATTTTCTATAATTGAAGAGAAATCTTAAATGGGCAATAATATTTTGAATACATACAAAATCTTAATAATTGAATCAAATATGGAGCCTGTGACCTTTGGCATGATTGAAATATAACCTAATTTAGATGTTACCTAACCTCCGTAACGAAAAAAATACTGTACCATGTTTACACGTGCATATTTCTTTAAATACAGTAATGGTGTGGGTTAAAATTCTTCTACTACTCTCTGAATACCTCTTCATCAAAATAATATAAAAAGTTTTCCAGTTTTGCAAAGTTCATATCACTGCATTTCTTGTTTTGGAATTGTACCCCTTTTCGTGGAATGGCCGTAAGGTGGTAAGAACAAAAAGTAACCAAAAACAGCACTTTCACCCCAAAAACTAAACGTCATCAGCAAAATGACCATACTTATTCTGAAGTCATATAATCTCCATGAACATTATATGGTAATATTATAACAACCAGTGAGTTATATATAAAGTCATTTTAGCCTGATTGTGGCTAATAGGGTATATAACCAGTATTTTATGGACACATTGTTAAGATATCAAATGAAATGTGGTTTAAGCATAGTTAATACAAAACCAATGCATAAGTACATCACCAGTTATTTCCTTGTGACATAAGATGCAAACAATATTGACAATATCAGAATAAAGTGGATGATACTGGTTGAAGAAAAGAAAAAATGTTTTCTTCATGATTTTTTTCATAGAATATTTATAGAAGGGTCTCTATAATAAAATAGCTTCTAATCTGTTGCCTGTGGTCTAGTCTTTCTTTCTTGATTATCATTGTGGTTACCTGTGAATAATGGCTTCATTTGAATTCAGATAAAATTGTTATGCTGCTGTATTTTACTATTGTTTTTTTTTTAATTTTTTAGGTGTATTTCTTTGTGTTGAATCATGGAATGATAAAAAGCAAAGCATTTTGTTTATAGGTATTGTCATATAATGTAGGTATGATTGAGGCATTTTTTCAGGACTAAATATGCCTTTGATAGAAACATGATGAGGAAGACTGAAACATAAAATTGATAACATTTGTTTATGATATCAGAATGAAGCTTAACCTTACATATTGCCTTGTTATTTGTATCACGGAATATAGCGTTTTTCAAAGAAAATCCTTCAAATAATGAATCAGTTACAAATAGTGGAAACACGCTTGATTAGTCAGAGGAGTGTCTCTCAAGGCAGCACGCTATTTTTCTATTTTTGATATACACCAGTATATGTATTATTATTATGATGATTGCCACCGATTAAGTATGGATTTAGTTTTACCTGTAAACATCAAAACATTTCCTTGATGCAAGTGCATGTCTATTAGTATTTATGGGCATTTAGTGTGATATAATGGACTGCATTGTAGTGGCTTGTGTTACACTGATTTAATCAACTAGAAGTTAAGTCTAAACCACGTAATGTCAGTGTCTAGATGTGGAGATGACTGATCATGCCTTGCATACAAATTTCTATTTTCACCACTGACAACAGATTAGAACACCTCATTACATGCTGTTTTGTTGTAGTATAGATTAAAGTGCCAGTGGCACCTGTTATGATGGTGAAATAAAAAACGGTGAATATGGAACAATTCATGATTGTTTCTACCCTGCTCAAGGGACCCGCTGAGCTAACTTAAACTGCCTACAGGGAAATTTTTTTTTTTTTTTTTTTTTTTTTTTTTTTTTTTTTTTTTTTTTTTTTTTGAGATTATGCTTGTAGACATGACAGAAAATATTACCTTGAACATATAAAGCAAATAGATATTTTCCATTTTTTACAGTACCCCCACTTTTTTAAACGAGATGGCAATAAACTTCAAATCATGCTGCAGCGGAGGAAAAAGTATAAGAACCGCACAATTCTTGGCTATAAAACACTTGCTGTGGGCACTGTGAACATGGCACAGGTAGGTCAACAACACAGGATATCCGCTGCTTTAAAAAAAAACTTAATTTTACCTTAGAGCAGTACATTCTATGGATGACCAACACACCTGAATAATTGACACTGTAATTTGATCAAATGCACACCTTTAAGGTCTGGAAGTGAGTATAATTTGATTGCTGGCAGTTGTTGTTTCTTTGATGCTTGACTGCTAAAAAAAATCTTTTCTCAGACCTAAGATTTTAAGTAGAAAGAACAGTAGCATATTTTTTCTCAGAATGTGGAACTACAAAGAGCAGAGCAGGGTTCAGAACTATACTAAGTTAAAGCAAAATATTATAACTGGGTGTTATCAGCCTGGTGGTGTTGTGAGTGTCTGGTCACACATTGCCATAGTGACACCAGAGGGTCATAGCACATCAAGACATTTTAAGGCCACATTTACAATCAAAGTTGATCCATGGATTAAGGTTGCATTCAGAATAGATGATCCACAGATTAACTGATCCACAGACTTAATATGGCTGACAATGCCGACTTATCTCCTGATGGTCTTCTCCCCCCCCCCCCTCTATACACCCCATTAAATCTCAACTCCGAGGTTTAAATGCTAGATTTCTGCAGGGACGGCATGTGTTGAAGTGGGGAGACCATCAGGGTATTAGTGGCATCACTTTTAAGCAGGTTTGACATATTCAGTCAGTCCGTGGATCATCTGTTCTGAATACCCTGTAACTGGTCAGCGGATCAAATATGGCTGACCCACTTGAAAGCCTATCACGTGATCCCTGTGGGGAATTTATTCAGTACCTATAAGGTAATAAGGGGATTATGCTACAAGCTTTCAAGTGGGTCGGCCATATTTGATCCACAGACCAGTTGGTCCATGGATCAATTGGTTGTAAATGTGGCCTAAGAGGTGACTGTGAACATGCAGCACACTTGAGCATTCTGTTATTTGAAGCGCTCATTTTGTTTAATTTGTACAGATATGAACATACCTGATCTGAACCCTGAATTTACTAGCATGAACATTCTATAACAGGGACGGATTCAGAGATATTTTCTGACAGTCTTTCAAATTATCTTTGTTGATCCATCCTCCATTTTTGACTGTCTTCCGACAGAAAAAATCAGATACCCGTCAATGTAAACTTGAAAATCTGACCGTCTTCCGGAAGACTCAGAAGACGGCCTAAATCCACCCCTGTATAATTACTTATTATTTTCATTCTTCTCACTTTTATTCCTCATTCTTACCTATCATCATTTTAGACACAAAAATGACAGTTACTGACACAAAGCCAAATGGCTTTTCAAAACACATGAATCGACATTTTGAAGGATTCCTAAAAAAATAGTTTGATAAAAATCATAAATTAACATTGTTGGGATTGACTAATTGCCATAATCATATAAGTAATGAACAATGTGCGTGCTGTGACATTTCAGGTCCTCCAGCGAGCAGCTGACAAAGAGCTAGTCTTATACCCAGATATTAAAGATGCCCAGAGTGACCTCAGTCGTATTGCACAGGTCACCATTCTGGCCTTGTCTAGTCAACCAGTTGATAAAGAAGAAAATGGGAGAAGAAAGCATCAAGACTCAGTGGAAGCAGGTGATTAGTTCCCATACAAAAGAATGAGGCAATTTTCTGGAATGGATCATTTTTTAGTTCTGGTTGGAAAAGTTCATGGCGGGAGTGAGTCATGTGAAAGCTGAGTGGGTGATGGGAGGTGCATCATCAGTAGTGCAGAGATTTTTTTAAAAAATCAATATTGATATTAAATGATGATGGGCTGAAGAAAAAGACTGACAGTAATTGAAATATAAAAGCTGCTTAAGTGATAATCTGAATTACATATTTCATCGATTTTCGAGTCTTTTGTTGGGTTTTCTTACCAACCTTAGCCTTATCAAATTGGAGAGTTTCTAGGTCTCTAAATAAGGTTATTATCTTTCATTAAGGACTCGTGATTTTACAGGGAGGAAGGGATTATATTGTCTTTTTCATCATTAATTTTTAAGTCTGTCAAAGACTTTTCTATAAGACCAGTCTTGGCAGAGAAGAA